AATCCACGAAGAAAATTTGAAACCTGTCGAGTGATCTTTGATTCTCTATTTGTCCGATTTTCTAACCATGCCTTATAATTTCCTTTTTGCGGATTCTCCGACTCTTTGCTTCCTTTATTCTCTAAGTACCAGTGTCAAGACATGAACCCCGCTCCATACAGCATGAATCGGGAGCATTTCGAAACTGGGGTGTTTACCCTTTCAAAACGGCTTTTTTTTCCAAAAGATTAGATAGGATGGATTGTTATTACGTATCGAAGGACTAGAAAGATGTCTTTGCGCATTTGGGGAAAGGTGGTTTTGAGGGGAAAATGCAGCATTCTGGCAAATACTACTGTTGTTCTGCAAATTTAGCAAGGACTTTTTACAACCAGCGCTTCCTACGTTGCACTTTAGTACTATTTTACTACGATTACTACTCTCTTATCTCCAGCTCCATCAGATGCCAAAGAGATAAATGTAGAAGGCCGAGTCATGCTTACCCTTTTGAATGCAAATGTGTCAAGTGTTACTCACCAAATTATGAAGGCGATGACTTCTGGTAAAAGTTGATCCTTGTCTTCATTAACTTTAAGCAGATTGTCGGAAAACTCCATATCAGTTTCAATTGCCTCGAATAGAAATTTCTTTTTTAGGGAATTCATAAGTAGTTTCTTCAAGTTATCTTCTTCTAAAACAGAACAGCTAGCCACATGTTTCTAGGTCATCTGCCGTTTGTCAGCATATGTTAAATTGTGTTTGCCTAGGACTGATGTAAAATTGGAGGCTAACCATGGGCGTCTTCACCTAAAATCTACTTACTAGAAAAAAGGGCAAAAATGCAGTTTAACTTCCGAGAAAGACATGTGGTTTTTAGGGAGGCTGTGATTTAAAAGGGAAGCGCTGCCCCAACATTGAGTTTATACCTGAGGAAATCTATTTTTGAAACGAAATAAGCAGGCTCTTATAGTTGAACCATTTTTCCATTGGCTGTTTTGTGGTTACTCTTAAAGAAAATTGACTATCTTTAGGGATGATCATAATGAGGTATTAGAAGTGGATTTTCTACAATAACATAGAGTAAAAGTGATCATGAGGCAATATTGTCATAAACTCACAGAAACAACGTTGTAAGTGGTCAGTGCGCTGCATGGGGCGCTGTTCGTTCAGTG